TTATTTATGTAGTTTCTATTCTGCAGATTCATATCTTCCAAATAATTGTTGTGGATCAAGGTATATTCTTAATAAATTTAATTATATGTAAAAATCGTAGAATTGTAAAGATCTTGATATTGTGGTTTAATTGCTAACATTTATCTTATCAATAAATCAAAATTGAGTGACCAACAAAAATAAACCTCTAAATCCAGTGACCTATCCAAATAAATAAATAAATAATTCTAGTTTTCTTTTTCTCTTTGTATGTATTATTTGTGAGTTAAATGTTTCATTGGCCACCAAACTTGAACTTATGTCACGATTTACTCACCGAACTTCATCAAGTGTCCCATTAGCCACTGAAATTTGTTCCGTCTCACTCTGTTAGCCATCAGATGAAATCTGTTAATAGACATGCTTACGTGGCTAGCAGTAAATTGAGATATCCAGTTAAATCGCTCCAAATGGCAAGTTAAGTGCCAAATCATTGACATGTCATCAATTCATTTGCCAAACATGCCTTTCCCACCCATATGAAACACGACATTAACCCAATTGATAACTTAGAGCCTGAAATCAATTTCTTCCAAACTGGATCGATAGAGAAGTTTGAAGTTCTCAAACTCTAATACCCAAATCGAGATCATCCTTAAATCAACCTGCTCATCCTCTATCACGCAAAGCCTGAAATCCTTGAACTCGATACCTTTTTCTTTTCATCTTACTGCACTTAGTGTGAACCATTGAGAACGAGTGTCATGAAAATAGCGCTTAATGGAGCCTCGAATTAGTCTAATAGATTTATTGAAGAACACAGTGTACGCTTGATGTTTAAGAGAGATGATGGTTCCATTTGTTTAAGAGAGTTTGAATTTGTTTGTTTGTAATAATTAGTGCATGCTTGATGACTGTAGTTCAAGTGGAGAAATGGATGGTTCCACTTACTTTCAGAGAAAGCAATTGCTCAAGTCATTTTTTTTCTGTACATATTTTGATGAATTCCCAACCACTTAAACACTAAATTTTGAACAATTTTGTGTGCAGAATTTGTCTGATCAGATTTTTACTGATGAGAATAAGTTTGACTATGATTTTTGGCCATTCAAAAATGATGATCTTGATCCTATAGATTGCTTTTGGAGCTCTGTGATTGATTAACCTCACGATGTTGGGCTGAACAAAGTTTAGAAATTAATCTTCAAAAGAGAATGAATGTATTCACGTTGCTTAATTTTAGTTTATCTGTACTTTAGTCCTTTTGAACTGGCATAAACTTAGCCCTTGTTTGAGCCCCATTTTAGAGGATAAAATGAATTTTTGAATAGTGTATTGATGGGAAATGTGTGGTTAAAAAATAAGAAAATTTTTTTGATTTGCGTATCATATTATTTTATTAAAAATGTGTGGTTGAAATGATGTCAAATCACTATTGAAAAATGTATTTTGATGGAAAAAATGGGGCTCAAACAAGGGCTTAGTAATAATATTTACAAGAGTAACATAAGCGGCCAAAAATGATACATACACATACGACAGAAACATCAAAAACCATCCATCCATGTTTAGAACATCAAAAACCATAATTATACAAACCATCCATACACATTTAGAACATAATGATTCCAGCATCAAAAAATTGGACGGTAACTGGTCAGAACATCATTTCCAGCAGCAAAAGAAAAAAATGATATCAACATCATTTAATGTGGCTGTCTATTTATCCTTGCATGCCGAGATGTTGTTTAGTTTGACAGCTTTCGTACGTTGTTGCATACTTGTCCTTGCCGTTCTCAATGTGGTAGATTCCACATCAATTATGTCATCCAATTCATCGAATTTCACTTCATCAGTTGGCACATGAGATGCAACCGACTGTGAGTGCATAGTAGTTGTTGTTTGGATGCAACCCGATTGCTTTTCAGTACCCAGCATAGGGGTTGGCATGAATTGGAAAGATTGTTCTTCCTCATCGTTTTGGTTTGTCGATGCTTTCTTCACTCCTGCATCATTTTACCCTTTTGCATAAGCCATGTAGAATCATTAGTCAAAATGAAGAGCCAACATAGTTAAGTATAAAGTAATGAAATTGAATTGTACTAACCCTTTTGTCAAACAATCTGTTGCAATTTGTGCCAATAGGTTCTAAGTCTTCTTAAAATTGGTCGTAAAACTCTAATTAGGATATTGTAATAAAAGTAAGAAGTGAAAATAAGTAAGCATATACTCACATCAACAGGAGCCTCCGGCCTCAAGTGATATCGGTCATTGTGTACTAAATATTTAATTGGGGTATATAGCAGAATTTTAAATATCAAACCATAAAATGAATAATGTATGTTAGAAGATAGTAAATTCGTTTCGAAATCCACACTCATCATAGATGAATTAAAAGCGTGATTTCATCCTACTCTCACTGATTTGAAAGAGCGTCTCATTTTACTAGGGGTGAACGCGATTCGGTTTGGATGGTTTGTGCTATATTTTCAACTCAAACCATTTTATACAGTTTGAAATTTTTCCAAACCAAATCAAACCATTTTATTTTTCGAACCAAATCATAATTTGTAGTTTGGTTAGATTTTAATCCGCGGTTTACATATCGACATTCTAGTAATATATTTAATATAAGTCAAAGTATAAGTTTGAACGAGAACCAATAATGTTAAATTACATTCATATTTACCATGGAATCCATGAATAAATTATTTTCAAAGTTGGTTGTTAAAATATGTTAATTGAACAAATACATATTTCTTCATTTTTATTTACATTTTTTTGTTTGATATTCATATTGTCATATAGCGATTGGTAAAAGTAGAGTTACATTCTGCCATTATAATTTGGTTAAAACTCCATTCGTCTTGCTAGTGAGATGTTAAATAATGATTGAACGAGATATGTTTAGATATACAAAGATTGATAGACTTTCAGCTTATTGAGAATTGACGAATTTTATTCTCTAACTACTTTATGAAAGTAAAAGGTAGTAGTATTAGTTAGAAAATTTTAATATTTTCACACAATCAATACGATCTCTCATTCGTTTTTCCAAACCACAAACAAGTTCATTAATCATCTAGGCACATAAACAATTATTTTTATATCCAAGCTACAATTCACCAGTGTATCATAAGTTTATAAACAACAAATAAAAGAGAGAATAACGAAAAAAAATGGCTTGAATGAGAATTTATCGAAATAGGTGATTCAGGTAGAGATTAGAAGACTAACAGGTAAAGGCAATTGGCGATTCGTTTACCAGTGGCAGACAAGCGTTAAATGTTAGGGAAATGAGAGTTTATATTAGGAATTATGAAATTTTGGACGTGATTTGCTGACGTAGTTTGTTTAATTATGATTTGGATTGTTGAAAATATGTTTTTTATTTTCATTTTATCTGATTTTTGAATAATTTTAGTTTAGTTTAAATATCGGGTGAGAACATGTGTTGTGAAGTTGTTAAATCATAGGCCAATAATGATGAACCTAATTTACTTTCTATGATTATTTCATTAGGCTGGTTGTCATTTTGTATTGCTAAATTGGTATCTTTTTTTGCAAATTGAAAACTGTAAAATTTTTAAGTTAATAAAATTAATGTTTTATTAAAAATTTTTAAAACGGTTTGGTTTGGTTTTATGCGATTATTGAAAATCGAAACCTAAACCAAATCATTTTGTAACGGTTTGATTCGGTTTGAGGGAAAAAACCACGGGTCTACGTGGACTCAAACTAGCGGTTTCAACTCAACGGTTTCAATTTGATTTGCAGTTTTGCGATTTTTTTTGTTGCCCTTCATTTTATTAAAGAGAGAAACAATTCTGCTAAACTTAGATTCATTAGTAATTTAGAACACACGGGAAAGTGAAATTATCACATTCGCATAATTTTTGAGCATTTACTGCAAAAATGGTAAGATATGAGCATATTTTGGGCCTTTACGATTTCAGCACTAACTAAACAAGAAGTTTGATGACAGAGTTATAATGAATAATTTACAATCATAAAAGAACTTATTAGAATCATGGACACATTTTCTTGATCATATAAAATTTCAAAAGATCTGAGACGAACAAAAATAGAATTTATATTAAAAAATTACGCCCCTAAAAGTTCAAATTATTACATACATCTAAATGTATCAATCAACGGGAAGGACAAAAAATGAAGGCAACTTGCTTCAAAATTACCTTCAGCTAGTCCATCCGTGTGCACACAATCAAGAATGACCAACCTCGACGAATGGGCAGCTTGGTTCGAGGATGATCTTGATTTGGGGATTAGGGTTCAGGCAGGGGCGGACCTAGAGGGGGGGAGATTATAGGGACAATTGACCCTCTAGATTTTGGAAAAAAGAAAAATTTTGTGTAGCTTTTTTTTTAGAAGACACCCTATAAATTTTATTTTTGACCCCCTAACCCAAGTCGTCTGGGTCCGCCCTGGGTTCAGGGACTTCAAACTTCACCTGATAGAGGATTTGATTTGGAAAGAAATTGATTTTAGGCTTTGAAAGAGTCATATTGGGGAGGGGGAGGCTTATTTGGCAAATGAATTGATGACGGAGCGGTTATTTGGCACTTAACTTGTCATCTGAAGCGATTTAATTGGACACGTTATTTCATCGTTAGCCATGTAAGCACATTTAGCCCCCATTTTTTGGAAATGAAAGTGGGAGAAAGAGTATTTTTTTATTTTTCTAAAATGAGTGGTTGGAAAGAAATGAAATTTTTTCGATTTACGTGTAATATTATTTTATGGAAGATTATGTGGTTAAAAATGAGAGAGAAAAAAATGAAGTGTAATGAAATGAAAATTAATGGGGGTCAAATAAGAGCTTATTAATGGATTTCATCCAATGGTTAATGGAGTGAGACAGAGCAAAATTTAATGACTAATGAGACGTTTGATGAGTAAATCGTGACATGAGTAAAAGTTGGGTGACCAATAAAACATTTAACTCACTATTTGCACTGGACATGAATGGTCAAATAGTCAAACACGGAGGAGACATACAGGTAGGGTCTCTCACTTGCCTGCCTTTCTACATTTCTCATCGTCTTGTTCCTTTCGGAAGTCTTGACATTGAAACTTCTTGGATACGTCATACACAGAGAATCACAAATTCATATATTTTCATCCACATTCAAAGCTGATTCACAGATAAATTTTAGTAAATTCAGAAATCTCTTGAATTATCGATAAATGGGCTGTAAATTCAGTAAAAGAATCAGGCAAAGCAGCCACAACACTGTTTCGGCGCTGCTACGTCGAACCACTTCCTACTCAGTGAACTCACGAGACGCCAATCTGAGCTCATATGAAGCAGCCTGCAGAGCCGATCCGGATCTCCGGAACTTCGATTCGAGCCTTCAAGCTCGGACGAGCCGAGCCATCAACTCCATAGCTGTAAGCCTCGATGTTCAAAGCGTCTCCCTCGACTCCCTCCGGGATGTAACTGAGTGTCTTCTAGAAATGAATGATGGAGTAGTCAAAATCATTCTCCAAAACAAAATGGATATTTGGAAAAACAAAGAATTAGCCGATCTCGTAGATGATTATTTCGAAAATAGCCTCCAAACCCTAGATTTTTGCACTGCCTTCGAGTCCTGCCTCAAACGCGCTTCTCATATTCAATCCATAATCAATGTCGCCCTTAGGAAATTCGAGGAAGAACATTTTGGGGGTTCGGAATACGGATCTGTCAAAAAAAACTATTCGAAAACTTTAGAGGAACTGAGGAATTTTAGAGGGACAGATGAGCCCTTTAACGAGGAATTTTTTAACTTGTTTAATTCGGTGTACAAGCAGCAAATCTTGATGTTGGAGAAATTACAAGCGAGGAAGCGAAAGCTGGATAAGAAGTTGGGTAAATTGGAGGCATGGAGGAAGGTAACGAATGTGATATTCGTGGTGGCTTTCGCCTCGGTTTTGATATGCTCTGTGGTGGCGGCTGCAGTTAGTGCACCTCCGGTGTTAACGGCATTGGCTGCAGCTGCCTCAGTGCCTTTGGGGTCGATGGGGAAATGGCTTAACTCGATTTGGAAGAAGTACAAGAATGAGTTGATGTCACAAAGGGAAATACTCATTTCAATGCAGATTGGGAATTACATTATGATTAAAGATTTGGATGGTATTCGGGTATTGGTTGACAGGTTTCAAATCGAGATTGAGGCATTGTTGGCGAATGCGGATTTTGCAATGAGGGAAGATGAAGCGGTGGTGATCGCAGTGGAGGAGATCAAGAAGAATGTAAATGGATTTATGAAAACTATACACGATTTGAATGAACACGCCAATAAGTGTAGTCGAGAAACAAGGATGGCTAGAGCATTAATATTGCGAAGAATTATGGATCATCCTAATGGCTCCAACCAGAACTTTAGTATGTTTACTTGACGACTGAATTCTATATTTCCAATTTATTATTATTGTTTTTTGAATAATGAACAGAATAGTCAATCTGTAAAGTAGAATAGCAAAATGAATTTTTGTTCTTGTGGACTATGTATGATTGCTAATATTATCCAAATTGAAAGGTTACACATTTCATGGAATAATTTACAAATGATGTTGTTTGATTAATATGCCCTTCTCTTTTAATGTTATGCTTTGTACTTGATATCCTATTTCATATCTGAATAGAAATAATATTTATTCGCATAATATTTCATTTCGAATGGGGAAATGAAAATGAAAGAAGAGATCATAAACCTCTTCAAAAAAAGATGTGTGAGTGACATCAGAATTTTCCAACTGAGGAAAAATAATAGAGATAGGATTTTGGAAGATAAATTTAAAGTATTTTGGTTGTATGGTGGATTAGTGGATTGATTAGAGGACAATATGCACCAGAGATGCAGTCTTTGATCCTCGTCAAAGCTTGGCCACTCAATGAACTCGACCACAGAGTTGCTCAAGTAGAAGTTTGACAAACTTGGAGAAATGGTCGAGTTGAGAGAGTTTTACCATGTCCAACAAAATGGTTGAGTTGAAGGACTATTCACCTGAAAATGTAGAAACAAAAATGCTACTTGTACATACTTTTTATACAGATAGGTTTACAGCTGCTGAGATGACAGCATATCATTGGCTGGTTTAACCTTCTTTTTTGAGTTTTGTTGGGGTGCCACTGACTATACACAACAGGAGAGTGGGTGGGTATTTTTTGGATAATTTTTTATACAGGTGGGTCCCATGCGTGACCCACCTGGTGTGAGTAGTCAGACCCCTACCTTGGTAAACCAGTTTAATCCTTGTTTTTTTATCCAAAATCCGATGAACTTTGCCACCTGCCATTCTGTAAAATAGTCTGTATCTTTTCTCTTGTAAAAATGACCAATGCATAAAAGAGTTCATTGATGGGAATGTAACGAACTAATGATTCATGGAACTGGCCGATTGAAGTTCTGATTGCATTTCCCTGCTTTCTAACTGAAAATATTGTAGGCGTAAATGAGTAATGCATAACCAAGCCGCACGGAGCCATGGTTTAGTTTCAGACATCAGAATGCAGATTGTACAGAATGGAATCCAGGGTTATTTTGCCATGTTTATCAGTGTTCTTGTTTTTTGCGTTTTTCCCTCTTCTCATACTAAGCCATGTGTGTTTTCTATTCCTTTTTCTTCGTGAAAGTGGGGAAAATAGGGGAAGGATTATGTTTGAATTTATAGGGGGAACTGAGAGGTTCAGCATTGCGCTAGTCAATTATAAATTTTGCAGTACTGAAGTTTGTAACTAGAACCTCATAAAAGGTCTTCATAGGATGGTCTTTTTTTTTTTT